AATGCCCACAAAACAGATATCAGACAAGATCACAAAGAAAAAACAGTTTCTTGCCATTTCAACCAGAAAGGACACTGTCTCAACGACTTAATTACCTGCATCCTGCTGCAGAAGCCTTTTAAATCTGCACTTGAAAGAGAATCCTCTGAACTGTCATTCATGCTAAAATTCGTCACTCTACGCGTCGGTCTCAACAAAGACGCTAACTATCTTACCCATTACAAAGATAGCTTCCCCAATTATCACCTCTAATACCATTAGCTCACAGACATTTACCTTTTCCCACCTCTAATACCATTAGCTCACAGACATTTACCTCCCCACCCCGCATCCCCCTTCTGTTCTGAAAAATGTGATTTGTCCTTTTCATATGTGTTCATTTTTTTAATTGTATCCTTTGGTATATATGGTTGTGACTATTTTCTTCCACTATTTGATCTGAGGAAGTGGGTCTGGCCCACGAAAGCTCATCATCTAATACTAATAAACCATCTTGTTAGTCTTTAAAGTGCTACATTGTCCTGCATTTTGTTACACACACACCAGAAATTCCTGCATACAGGGCTGATGTATATGCCAAGACATTGGTGTTTCCTCTCAATTTATCCTAATTCTATTGACAGGGCATGCAAATAAATGTTGTACTGACTATGTTTGGTCACATTTAATGGAGCATCTTGTAAACGTGGTATGTTTAGAAGATTTCTCTCCATTTTAGATCCAGTGGAGGTGCATTGTTTACTTCACTACTAAGTATAATTTTACACAGAAAGGAAATTCAATAATACATTTTAAATTGGGAAGTCCCCATCATCTTATTTCTCTAACACCATAAGGAAGGATAGACCAAATTATACTAGGTTTCCCATTTTTTCTTTACATTTGATTTGATTAAAATTCTTGAGACAATCCTGGATTTAGTCACCAGATGGCACCATAATGGTAGTCTCTTGTAATCCTCTCTGAATAACTGAGTCATTTGAAGTGACCCATAACATTGTTCACAGTGAAAAATGATTGCAACTTTTCAAAAAGAGTTTTAACAGCTCCATTGTTTGCAGCTGGACTGTGAACTCTGGCAGGTAGTAGTTATGGGAAGGGCTCTTTACTGGTCTTCCTGAAAATCCACTCAGCTTTTTCCAAGTTAAAGATTTTGACAATTGCCATTGCCTGACTTTCTCTCACAGCACAGCCTATTTTGGGAAATACACCAAAATCCTGTAACTTGCCATTAGCATGACACTTGCAATTCCCTGTCACTTCAGTATTTTCCACTCAGAGTCAAACGTTCAGACGGGGTACCAAAGAATGTATGATGATGGTTATCCTCTTGAACCTACCACAGTTTTTTCATTGCCCTAATTGTTCTGGCCTAAGAGAATATATAGTGTACGAAGACCTAGATCTAGACGACCATAGATTGTAATATACTCTCACCATTTTTTGAAGTGGTGTTCGCAATTCTGTGCTTTTCAGAATCCTTATTACAGATCACAAACTGACAGGTTATACAAATTGGGAATACAGCACAGATGTCTATCTAATATTCCAGAACCTCATCACAAATCTAAGAATAAAATAGTTGTGTGAAAACATGCTTATGTAGTGATCATGCATTGTATCTGTCCCCACCCTCTGCTTGTTTGTTTTGAGTCTTATTTATTTCAAGAGCTTGGGCCTCCAAATACACATATGCAATCCTTTACTTTGGGGAGTATTCATGTTCTGTAAAGTTCTGCGTACCTGTTTGCAGGATTATGGCACAAGTAAGTATGTTCAGGCAATGAAAAGTACAATGGATACCCAGTTTTTCAGTGCTTTAGATATAACATAGTTTTTATGATGAAGGACCCCAACGTGCTGCACTCATCACTCTATACAGAGATCACTAAAACACAGCCACTTCAGTAGAAAGTGGCTGCCTAAGAAGAAGGGTTGGGCGGGGATATGAAAGAGCAACCCTACTCTCCTGAAGTGTCCAAACATAGTGAGAGGGGCATTCTTTCTGGGACATAGGCAAAGTGCAGAGGTGCTGGAACAATTTGCATAGAAAGAGGGTTGAGAGCCACCAGACTGTACAGCAGTGGTCATCAACCCGTTGATCGCAATCGACCGGTCGATCGCGAGGCCTTGACCAGTCGATCGTGAGGCGTTCGGCCCCCCCCAGCCTCCATTTTCCCCCCACCCCCGAGAAGCCCCACTACCTACCTCTAGTGTAGTGCCGGCTTCCCGCAGGGTGGACGGAAGTCCTGTCTGAAGCCTGCGTCCCTTCCGGGAGTTCTGGAAATGCACAGGCTGCTCCCCTCCCACAACTCTGTTGCGTGCTGGGGGAGGGGGCGTCGGCCTTGGAGGAGTGCGGCGGCTTCCCGGCGCCCCCGGCGCTGGAGGGGTGAGTCCAGCTTAGGGGTTTCCCTGCGCCGCGGGAGCAGGGGTCAGCCCCGGGGTTTGGCCGGGCTGCAGGAGGAGGGGGTCGGCCAGGCTGGGCCGCACCTTGGGAGGGGGGTTTGGCCCTGGGGCAGGTGCCCCTGGGGATTGGCCATGCTGCGAGAGGAGAGGGGAAGAGATGGGGGGGGGGTTGGCTTGGCTGGGCTGGGCCGCGGGAGCGGGGTTTGATTCAAACTAACACAGGCCAGAGCGCACTTCCCTGGTTCGAATCAGCTGGCGATCAGAATAGCGCACGGGCGAGATTATGCAACTCAAGCATGGGATATTTAAATCCCTGCTTCATTAACAATTTTGGTCATCTACATTTGCATCCCTAGTTCAAACTAGGGTGCACGTGTAGCCATACCCTGACACTGAATATAACTATCATTGTGGGATACTGGCAGAAGCAAGTTACCTCAACAAAACAAACAAGAGTCCACCTTGGCTCTTTGTCAATAAAGGGAGGGGAAAAGACAAGTCTCTTACAGGGCATAGTTTTCCTGACAAAAGTTGCATTGTAGTGTCTACTCTCTCACTGTTTTGTCAACAAAAGGCAGTTTTTGCAGATAAAAGAGGCCAGTGTAGACAAGACCGGGGTTGCCAGCTTGGACAGACGTGATGCCATAGCAGCAAATGGAGCGCAGTCCAGGAGAATAGGCAGCTAGTTCCATCGCCTATAGCAAAACCGTCCCACTCTCTGCAGTACGCATGGCGCCCACGGCTAAGCCCACCCTCTCAGACTAATCCCTGATTCCACGCGCTCCACTCGCCCCGCACTCCCTCCAGTCCAGTGGCAGTCACTGCGCAGGCGCAACCGCTGGGCGGTTGGAAGGCGGGGTTTTCCTCAAAGACGTTAACTCGCTGGGATTACCGCCGCCGCCATTTTGAATTCGCTGGTGGTCAGTGGCTGCTGTGGCTAAGAGCGCCTCCGTGACCCGCTGAGAGCGCCCGAGAGAGCGAGCGAGGCTGAAAGATGGCGGCGAACAGTCGGAACCTGAAACAAGTGCGGATCGAAAACAACTCCCCGGCGGCACCGCTCGGCATGGTGGGGGGCGGCGGCGGCGGCCTGAAGGGGATGCGGGGCCTGGATGCGGACAGCGAGGTATCGGCAGCGGCCATGGCGCTGGGCAAAGAGGCTGGCGAGGAGGAGCAGGAGGTCGGGTTCACCATCGACATCAAGAGCTTCCTGAAGCCCGGCGAGAAGAGCTACACGCAGCGCTGCCGCCTCTTCGTGGGGAACCTGCCCACCGACATCACCGAGGAGGACTTTAAGCGCCTGTTCGAGCGCTACGGGGAGCCCAGCGAGGTCTTTATCAACCGCGACCGCGGCTTCGGCTTCATCCGCCTGGTAAGGACCTTTTTCCCCGGACGCGTCTTCGAGCTAGTGGGTGAGGCCTCGGCTCTGGGGCCGCCTATCTCGGGTCGATACAGGCACGGTCGTGTCTGGGTATTCGCCTCTTGCACGGGCATCGTGTGTGTGTGGGATCGGGACGGGCCTCGCCTTGCAGTCGCTAACCTACACCCCACTGACACCGCGAAGCCTGGTCTCCTTTCAGTACAACCAGTTCTTGTGTCACTGCCCTCAGCCTTACTGCTTCTCGTCTCTTGCTCTTTTGCCTGGTTTCTTTGATACCGTGTCTTCAGCCATGGTTATTTTTCCATATCCTGACTATATGCCTTGCTGCTGCCGTTTCCATCTTCAGGCAGTGCAGACTGCAGCCCATCAGCCGGCATGCCCAGCTGTCTTCACGTCCCACCCACAAGAGCTGCTCCCTTTAATTTTTTCATGTCCAGAATGACTTTATGTGCCAAGTATGGAGGTGATGTGCAACAGTCATTCCCTGCACAGACAGCACGTGGGAGAGGTTGGGCCGAGGGGTTGGGTTGAGTATTCTAAATGCCGTGTCCAGACTACGGCAGGTAGTTGGGGACATGGAAGAGGAATGATGGTTCTGACTGTGGGTGTGGGCTCTGGAATAAGGCTGGGGATTAGAGGGTTGCAGTGCAAGTAGGGGCTCCTGGCTAAATGTGGGGCAGATGGATTTCGAATACAGGAGAGGGCTGCAAGATGAAGCAGATGGTTCAGCATGCAGGAGGGGTTGAGAGGTTAGGGATGTGAAAAGTTAACTATTAAGCTTCACTCTTACCTAAGCCTTTAACCTGTGGGAGAGGGAAGCAGTTCCCTGCTTGCTGCAGGCTGGGAGCCCGCTGTGGTCAGTCTGGAGCAGCCTCCGGTCTGTGGGGCACCTGAGCACCCCACAGACAGAGAAGCCCTTGCTTGTGGCTGGAGGGGGCTGCTCTAGCCCAACGTAGCTCCTCTGCCCGCACCCCCTTTCATTGGTTAACCAGTTAAACATAATGTTTAACCAATTAAATAGGATTTTCCATACCTAGCAGTGCTCTGGGCTGGGCCTGAGAATAAGAGATTTGGGATGTAAAAGGGGACTATTGGTTGGAGAGGGGCCTCAAGCCTAGTATTTGGGATGCAAGAGGAGGGGTATGGGTTCAGGGCTGAGGTTTGGAGTGCAGGGGAGGAGTACAGGCTCTGGTCTGGGGGTGTGGACTTTGAAGTGGGGCCAGTTGATGAGAGGTTTGGGATGTAGAAAGAAGTTCAAGGTTTGAGGGAAGCTCAGCAGGGAGTTGGGGCTCAAGCTTACCAAGGCTAAGTCAGGCTTTTGGGCTTACATTCTTTCAGGGATGTAAATATCAGTCCAAACAGTTAACCGTTGGTGGGCTGGCGCAGAACAGGAGTCTCATTAGGGCTGAAGGGCAGATACTGCTCAAGGCCAGTGTGCCCAATGGACTGTTCGGGTGTTACTGTGACCTGGGTCTCTCCTGCCTACTCTGCTGGGTCTGGAGCTGCTCTGGCATGGCTGGGCAGTCCAGTTAACTAGTTATCAAATAAGCATTACAGTAATCCTAATGCTTACTGGGTAACCTTTTACATTCCTCGTTCCTGCCTGTCCTGGGGCACCCCTCTGAGCCCCAGAAGCAGCCAGCAGCAGGCCCAGCTTGGAGTGGGGGAAGGAGGGGTGGGAGAAGAGGAGCATAAGGTTCTGCTGCTCTCCCCCACAAGCACTGCCATCTTAGCTCCTGTTGGCCAGGAATTGGCCAATGGGAGTGCGGAACTGTGTAGCCCCATAGCCCACCAACAGGGATGCCAGATCTGCTGTGCTGGCGGCAGCAGCAGCAGCTAGTGTTACAGCTTTTGGGCTTAGGAAGAGGCATCTCTCCCCTTGGCGGTAGGGATGTTAAATACTGATTAATTCAATAATTGTGTAACCTCACACAACCTTAGCAGTTACAGTTGTTTGATAGTTTCATCCCTGGAGGTGGGGATGGCAGACCATGCATTCCTGGCCTCACTCCTGGGGAGCTCCCTGCCATGGAACCTGAGCTTCCCACCGACAGAGGCTGCTTTGCCATCCCATGAAGTGGCCTCTGTCTGTGGCGAACTTGGGCCTGCTATGGAAAGAGGCTGCATCAGCATTGCTCCCCCCTTGCCGCTGCCTCTGATACAGAGGCAATTGGTGGGGGAGGTGGCTCTTAAGCCGGCTCCGCTCCCCTTGCCCCCCAGCACTGCCCCCCCGCCTCTCTGGGAGG